GAAAGAGTAGTGAGAGCATCACTGGTGGGTCAGGGTTCCTCTCCATGCAGTACTTGTGAGGCTACATTCGGGGAACCATGTCCTGTTATGGCTCCACCAGCACAAGAGAGAACTTGGTGATCCGAGTCTAGGAGAAGATCATCAGGAGAGGAGGACATTTAGGGGCATGAAGCACATGCTGCACCAGCACAGACTGGAGCACAGCCTCTGCTCAGAGGTGCACAGAGTGAGGATCAGAGGTGTCAGGTAGAAATTGCAACAGATAAAAATGGTTCATGATGAGTGTGGTTAGCACTGGAGCTGTGCCCCAGGGAGATGGGAAGCTTATCCTTGGAGACTTTGGGGACTTGACTGGATGAGACCTTCAGCAGCCTGGTCTAGCTCTGAGGGCAGCCTCAAAGGTGCCTTCCAGAGATCACTTCCAACATGATTTTTTTCCTCCATTTCTGCCTATGATAAATGTCTAGAGCTTTCTTAATGCAGTGTCTGCCCTGACCCTCAGCTAAAAGCCTCCTTGCCAAAATCTTTGGTGGATTCTTTTGGAAATTGCAAGCCTGGCCAAACTAGATTTTTGTGCACAGGATATGTCCCCTATATCTGCCTTCTGCTTCTTGTACTTAGTAAACTCTCCTGGGGAGAAACTATGCTCGGGGTAGGTCCACCAAGGGAGATACATTACAGGGCTCCAGAAATGCAGGAAGGTTTTAGTCTCCTTCACACTCATCATCCTCCAGTTGTCTGTATCAAACCCTGCCTGACCCTTCACCTTCTCCTTGGCTGCTCGTGATCTGTTGTTGCTTTTGAGGTGGTGAATTCCAAGGGTGACTTCATCTTCTCTTGGTGAAGTGGCATGAAAACCCGGTACATCCCAACTGTGCCACAGCTTCTGGGCTCTGCAGGGAAGAAAAAAGGCAATTTTCTGCAGTCATCTGTTCTGAATTACAGTGGCTTCAGGGAGCTCTTTGGCTGGTTTCCACCACAAGCAACCAGCTCCCAAACCTACGCAACTGGGAGGTGGGGCCTCGTGGTGGTAGTGGCTAGAGCTCCGCACATCACTCTCAGAGGACCTGGCTGAAGGGTCTTGAAGCCACCACCCTCTGCTCCTGCTCTGCTGGGGACAGGCTGCCCCTTGGTGAGGAGCCACTGGGCCCTCCGGGGACAGCTTCAGTGGGACCAGGGGGTGAGCACAGGGATCACCCACACTCCCTAAACCTCCTGAATTTGAGCATCTGCTACTGAGAAAAGGGGGTCTGTGCTGAGGGTGGGAGCTTGGGGGCCTCGTGGTGGTAGTGGCTAGAGCTCCGCACATCACTCTCAGAGGACCTGGCTGAAGGGTCTTGAAGCCACCACCCTCTGCTCCTGCTCTGCTGGGGACAGGCTGCCCCTTGGTGTGCAGCCACTGGGCACTCTGGGGACAGCTTCAGTGGGACCAGGGGGTGAGCACAGGGATCACCCACACTCCCTAAACCTCCTGAATTTGAGCATCTGCTACTGAGAAAAGGGGGTCTGTGCTGAGGGTGGGAGCTGGAGGTGTGCTGTGGGCGTCACCCAGCCAGGAGCAGAGGAGATGAGTGTTTTGCAGTGCTTTTGCCCCCTGCATCGAGCTGGGGCTGGGCAGGGCTGGGTGCTGGCATGGGGAGTGGCAGAGCTGTGGGGCAGAGCTGTGGGAGGGGGATGCTGACCATGGCTGGGCAGCTCATCTCATTCCTACCAACAGATCCTTTCTCTGCTCCTGTCCTGCTTCAGCCTGCATCTCTCACCCTGGCCCTCATGCACATCTGTTGCTATCCTGATCACTCTGAGTTTGCTTTACAGCTCTGCCAGTGCCCTTTACCCTGCCTTGCACTGTAGCTCCTCCAAACAAGATGCCTCTCAACTAAGTCTTGGCATCTTTGGCTGTTAAGACACACCAGCAGGGGACGGCTGTGTGCAGTCATTGCTTTTACAGCTGAAGTGGTAAGAAGTCAAGCATTAGGCAATGCCACATCCATTGCTCCCATGGGAGGTGTCTGTCTCAGCCCAGCTCCTGTCCTCACCACACTTGGGGGGTGTAGGAGTGAAGGGGGGAGCCCCAGCCCAGCCCTGCCTTCACAGTCTGCACCCAACTTGCCATTACAGGTGGGTGTGTCGTGATGACAGCGAAGAAGAATCAGGCTCTGCCAAATGGAAGTGCAAAGGTGGGTGTGGGGAGAGGGAGAGAGGGGAGGGCAGAGGTGTGCCAAGGGTGCCAGGTGGTGCATACCTGCTCTGCTCTGCTGGATGAACACAAGTCACATCCCAAGCTGTCCCACATGTCCCCGTTATCCGTATATGGACCTTCACCTGAGAGCATCAATGGGAAAGAGAATAACCTTTTGCTTGCTTGAAATTAAATAGTTCAGACTCAAGAAGGTTAACCTTGACCTAATGCAAGCCCTCAGTGATACCTGCCAGCAGTGCCTGTCCTTTACCTGCATCCCCACTGCAGACCCCAAACCTCCAGCAGTTCTGCTGCTGGGGATGCAGATTTATCCTGCTCACTCAGTGTTGAGGGACCTCCCCCCAGCGGTGCTCTGGCACTGGCAGCACATGTAGGTGTTGCTTGTGCTGGTTTATACTGGCATCCCATATCACCCGTGCTAGCAGGGTGCAGGAACACAGTGCCTTGCTGCCCCAGAGAGCTCTGGTGCCCTCTTCCTCAATCGCTCCTACTAATGTCCTTTTTGCCACCAAGGACAGACCTATTTCTCTCCCTTTCTCCTTCTTGAGGTCCATATCCCTTACTTGTCACAGTGGTGACAGGACAGAGGTACCACATAGGCAAAAGGGACTTTGCTGGCCCAAGGACAGGAGCAGGGGGTGGGTCAGATGAAAATAGCAGGAGAACAAGTGGGGAAAGCCAGAGAGAGCACCTGGACAGTCAGGCTTGAGAGATGAGAGTAGTGGGGACTGACACCCCTCCAACACTGCCTTGGTGTTCCTGCACCCTCAGCAGCAGCAGCCAGCCTGGTTGCCCATGGCTGTGCTGTAGGCAACACAGCTGAGAGACCCTCAACAGGGGTTTAAGAAATGTCATCCTCCCAGCGTGAGCTGAGGTCCTCTGTGGTCACTGCAACATGCCACATCCCACCAGAGTGCAGACAACAGGGTGTTCCTCGGGGAAGGGCTGTTGACTAACCCCTGCCCCTCTGCCACGCACAGGAGAACGTGCTGCAGAGGGTCCTGCAGCTGCCAGTGGTGAGCTCGACCTGTGAAACCCTTCAGCGCACCTATGTGAGCACCAAGGAGGCCCACCCGCTCATGGCCTCGGTGTGTGAGGTCTACGAGCGGGGCGTGCAGGGCGCCGGAGCCTTGGCCATGTGGGGCGTGGAGCCCGTGGTGCGCAAGCTGGAGCCTCAGTGTGAGTCCATGCCCTGGGGGGACACAGCAGTGGGAAGCCACCACAGCCTCCTGTGGTGGGACAGAGCTGGCAGTAGTACATGAGACCTCCTAGCACAGCCTGGGAGCTTTTTTTGCCAACCAATCCCCCTGCTTTTGCCCAAGGCAGTCACTGTGGCTAACAACCTGGCCTGCCGGGGCTTGGACCACCTGGAGGAGAAGATCCCTGCGCTCCATTACCCTGTTGACAAGGTAAGTCACAGGTGGGACAGTCTGGAACCCCTCTGCAGAGCCCACAGTATGACTCCTCTGGTCTTGTTTCTGGATAGTACTGAGTTGCTGGGGAGGAAATGAAGTTGCACCTCCAAGCAAAGACTCCTCCATAAGCTGCTGCAGCCCAGGGAATGGTTGGGGTGCTCCCAAATAAAGAGCAACAGTATCCTGTGTCCCATCCCCTGCCAACCACCTCCAGCCGGGGCTGCAGAGAGCTCTTATGTCTTATCTTTTGGGGCTGTCTGCTAGCATGGCCATGGCTGGGCTCCCCATGGTGCTCCAGCTGTCCCATGCCACCCTGAGAACACCAGCAGAACTATTCATCTCTCCACCTGCAGCTTGCATCTGAACTGAAGGACACCATCTCCACCCCGCTCCAAAGTGCTAAAAGCACCATTGGCAACTCCATGGATAAGATCATTGAGCTGGCAGCAGAAGGCTATGAGGCCACCAAGAGCACTGTAGAAACAACAGCAAAGTACGCAAGGAGAAACTCAGTGAGCCAGATGGCAGCTGCAGGGGTCGACACGGCCCTGGGAGGGCTGGAGAAGCTGATGGAGTATCTGCTGCCAGAGGAGGATGAAGTAGCAGGTAGTCCTGAAGTCCAAATCCCATCTGAAGGTATCTGGAGGGGGCTGGCCACTCATAGGGTGGCACCTTGATCACAGGGTGCATGTGGCAGGGGGAAGCCCCTGGATTTTGGCACAGGGCTGCTTAGGAGGGTTGTCCCAGCAGGATGTAACCCCTCACTGCTCTTCTACCTCTGCTCTTCTGCCTTTAGATCAGAAGCCCAAAGAGAAACGTGTACCAGCAGTAAAGGCCTCACAGAAGCAGCCCAGCGCTCCTAGTGCTCCCAGCACTCCCAGTGCTCCCAGCACCCCCAGTGCTCCCAGCACCCTGGGCCGGATCGGTGCCTTGGTGAGCAGCGTCTCCTACCGCGCTTACCAGCAAACCACCCAAGGCCTCCAGCGTGCCAAAGCCAAAGGGCAGGAGCTGGCCACCTGGGTCCCCATCCTGGTGAGTGCCAAAACCCACCTGCTGGGCTCTTGCTCCCCCATCCCCTCTTCTGGGCTGATTCTGGTTTTGGATGAGATATTTCAGGTTCCTTGGAGCATGTCCAAGAGCAGAGTGGTGGGCTCTGCCTAGGAGGGTTGTCCCAGCAGGATGTAACCCCTCACTGCTCTTCTACCTCTGCTCTTCTGCCTTTAGATCAGAAGCCCAAAGAGAAACGTGTACCAGCAGTAAAGGCCTCACAGAAGCAGCCCAGCGCTCCTAGTGCTCCCAGCACTCCCAGTGCTCCCAGCACCCCCAGTGCTCCCAGCACCCTGGGCCGGATCGGTGCCTTGGTGAGCAGCGTCTCCTACCGCGCTTACCAGCAAACCACCCAAGGCCTCCAGCGTGCCAAAGCCAAAGGGCAGGAGCTGGCCACCTGGGTCCCCATCCTGGTGAGTGCCAAAACCCACCTGCTGGGCTCTTGCTCCCCCATCCCCTCTTCTGGGCTGATTCTGGTTTTGGATGAGATATTTCAGGTTCCTTGGAGCATGTCCAAGAGCAGAGTGGTGGGCTCTGCAGGACAAGCCAGCACCAACAGTTGACACAGGACATTCACACATAACCTTGTACCATCTTAGTGGGATGAGCTATTTTTAGCAGGCTCTCAGTTTATATTGTTGATTTATGGCCTTGCCATAACATCCTCCCTAAAGCAAAAAGCCCTTCCAGGGCCCCAGAGAGAAGGAGGTACCTCTCCTCTCCCACTCAGTGCTGTGGTGGGAACCCTTCCCTGGCCTGTGCCAAAATCCCAGAGCTCCCAACTGCTCTTAGGATTTCTTCCAATGTGCATAAAAGAGCTTTTCTGCTCCCTGCATGTTCCAGGACCCCAGGAAATCCTCAGGCTAAGCAGGATGGGGTGAATGGGACCTGCCATTATCCCCCCGAGTGGTGGCTTTTTTTTGCTCCCCTTCCAGGGCCACCTGGTCAAGCCAAGCACACCTGAGGCACCACGAGCCCAAGGGGATGGGCAGAGCAGCACGGGCGGCTGGATGAGCCGGCGGCAGAGCAAGGCTCCGGAGCAGAGGCAGGAAAAAGCAGGGAAGAAAGACAACAACCACACCAAGGAGGTATAGAGAAAAGGGGGGCAGTTAGCCAAGGGCACCCCAAGGTGTACTCCTGCCCATGTACCGTGCCAGTACATGGGGGGATGTTTCCCCCATGCCCTTGGGGACCAGGCC